TGTCTGAAAATGGCGAAAAAAATCATACAGTACTGTGTCCTATATGTGAAGTTGCTGTCTCCTAATGAATCCCCTCCCCCCGTTCACCATTTATCCAAACCATGGTCAGTCCTGTATGGGAAACTAATGTTAATATTTTCGTTTTGACAGTTTATCTTCTATGCCATTTACAAATTTTTTTCTGCATTCTTTACACTAGAATTATCATAAAAATAATTTGGTGTTCGTCATCATGCCCTCTAGTGTGATGATGCTGATAATCTCTTCCAGTTTTTCAGGTGTGTCAACCACAACCAAGTGACCACCATCCAATAAACATTCATCCTTGGCTGGGTACATTTGGTTCCCAGTCAACACCAAGTGGTAGAACCTCTCGCCACACTTTCTAGTCAGTTGACATGAAAAATAAGTAGATCATAAAATATATACTGTATATATATTATTATTATTATTATTTTTTTTTTTAATATATTATTGGGCACCCCCCTACATTCTTGTGTAAGGTGAAGCGCAGAAGCGCTTACAGTGCCCAACAGGGAAGCATGCTAAGTTCATGCTTGCCTTTATGTCTCACGAGTTAAGGGCATAGAAGCCTGAAGAGTCAAGGGCATAGAAGCCTGAAGAGTCAAGGGCATAGAAGCCTGAAGAGTCAAGGGCATAGAAGCCTGAAGAGTCAGTGGTTTATGTCATCAAGTTATTGGAAGCTCCAACAACTTGTCCCTGAATAAGAATTCGCAACTTTTGATTTACACCAGGTACCTACTTTACTGCTAGGTGAACAGGGACTAATGGGGGCTAGGAAGTATGCCCAAACAACTTCCACCTGCCCGGGAATCGAACCTGTGACATCTCGCTTGCGAAGGCAAGAGCGGTACCACTCTACCACCAGCGCCCCCCATAAAAGAATTGTAAAAATAAATTGAACAAAGTACAGTAAAGAGCGGGAGAATATGATGAATGATAATTAAATACAGTATTACCTTCTTGTTTCTGTATTATAAAAGTGAGTAACCTGGAACCAAGAAAAAAATTTATTCAATCACTCAAAGGTGCAAAGAAGTTGGGAGCAAAAAAATACTTTAAGATGTTACAAGTGATCACATAGAAAAGATTTCTGAAGTAAAAATTTAATAATACTGTACAGCAGTGTACAGAGAATTATGTCTAAAAACTGGAACAAAAACTCAGCACTACTGTATGTGGACAACTAGGGCACCAACGTGTGTTTGTAGGAAACGGAACAAAAATTTGTATGCAAAATTAAGGTTAATATTAATGATGAGCTAAATAAAATGGGAACATTCGAATCTATTTGGTGTAATTTGATAGATCAAAACAAAAGCAAGCTGACAGTAGGTGTGTGCACAAGCCCTCATCATGGGAAACTTTAATCATGACGTTATAGACTTGGTGAATCTTATCACACATGCCGAGGGAGAAGAATTCCTTGAACTCATTCAAGACTCATTCCCTACACAACACGAGAGAACACAACATTCTAGATTAAGTCTTGGCGACTGAGGAGGCTATGGTGGACGAGGTCCATGTCGTGTAAAAACTAACTCTGACCAGTGACCACTACATACTAAGATGGAATACAATCTTTGATAGTCAAGAGAAAGTACTTGAGAAGGATTACAGCTCCTCCCCAACTTACGACTTACCCGACCTACGACCACCCGCCACACTTACAACCTGCTCAGTCCGTAACGACCATCCGCACATACGACCGCACAGTCGGGACCAAAAATTTTGTCAAATGATGCACACATTTTCTATACCGAAACGTTTCCGTCCCGTACGAGAGCGTGGCGTGGCTTGGGTCACCGCGTGGGTACAGCTCCCACTTAGTAGAGCGCTTAGTTGGTGTTTGGCTGTCGTTGTATCCACAACTGATCGCGCTGTGTACTGACATTATTTTTGTTTTTAATTGACTTAAGAATGACTGGAAAACATACAAATGAGAGTGCTGGTGTGCTCAGAAGGAAAGGAGACAGTCAATTACTTTTGAGACGAAAATTAAGATAATAATGCTGTATGAAAATGGAAAAACTGTAGCAACAATTTCACGCGACCTAGGGTTTTCGCACTCGACCGTATCCACTATTCTGAAGGACAAGGAACGTATTCGTGATGTAGTGAAAGGATCAGCACCTATAAAGGGAATTACTGTATAATAATGAAGAAAAGACAAGTTCCCATTCACGAGATAGAAAAATTATTGGTGAGACCAGACACAGAAGCGTGTACCCTTAAGCCTTCTAGCCTTACAGGCTAAGGCAAGAAGCCTGTTCACAGCAAGTCATGGGTGGTTTAAAAGATTTAAGAACCACTGCAGTTTACATCATGTTAAGGTGAGTGGAGAGACTGCTAGTGCTGATGTTGTTGTTGCCGAAGCTTTTGAGAAGGAACTAGATTGTGTGATCGTGGAAGGAAATTATTTGCCTGAGCAAATATTCAATGTGGATGAAGCTGGATTATTATGGAAGCGCATGCCTGAACGGACATACATCCACAAAGAGGTGAAAACAATGCCAGGATTCAAGGCATTCAAGGACCGAATTACACTTCTGTTCGGGGGGAATGTAGCTGGTTTCAAGCTAAAGCCCTTCATGATCTATCTTTCAGAGAACCCCAGGGCTTTTAAACATGTCAGCAAGCACACACTGCTAGTGTTTTATTGCAATAACAAGAAGGCCTGGATGACCCTTGTACAGTTTGTACTGTTTGAGGATTGGTTCATGAATTGTTTCATTCCTCGAGCCAAGGAGTATTGTCTGCAACAAGGGATTGCATTCAAGATTTTGCTAATTTTGGATAATGCTCCGGGACACCCACCACACCTGGACGACATGCACCCTGCTGTTAAGGTAGTCTACATTCCACCTAACACTACCTCTGTTATCCAACCCATGGATCAAGGTGCTATTGCAGCTTTTAAAGCTAATTATTTATGTACGACCTTCGCTCAGGCTGTTGCTGCTACTGAAGGTGAGAAAACGCTCAGACAGTTTTGGAAGGACTACAACATTTTGACATGTATAAAGAACATAGCTGCAGCATGGGATGAGGTTACAGGTCAGTGCATGAATGGAATATGGAAGAAAATACTGAAAAGATATGTGAACAGTTTCAGAGGATTTAATGAAAATGAAGTTATTTCTAAGATTGGTAACAAGATAGTGGAGTTGGGTAAACAGCTTCAGTTAGAGGAAGAAGAGAGTCGAAATATAGAAGAAAGTCTTGCACCTCCCCAAAAATTTTCAGTGAAGCAAATGGCAGACGCATTTGCTACAATTAATAAAGGGATGCAAATGTTTGACGGAATGAATAAAAATTATGAGCGTTTTGCCAAAGTTGACAGAATGGTCCAAGATGCACTTGCTTGCTACAGGAAAATTTATATTGGAAAGAAAAAGCAAACTGTGCAGTCTAAATTGTACATCTATTTTAAGAGGTCCCCCATTGCTGTCTCCTCATGCCCCACCAGTGCTGCCTCTTCACTCCCTAAAGATGATGATCCAATACCTTCAACCAGCAAGTTTCCACAGCACATAAACCTGTCTGAAGAAAGCGACATTGATGACCCACCCAGCCCTGTCTCCTCCTCTGCTTCATCCAATTAATATAGTCTCCATGTATTCTGTAAATAGAAAATTATGGGGCCCCGTGTGCATTCAGTTGACTACATTAAATGTAAGTGCACAGTCACACTGTATCCATTCTTCATTATTGATTATTTTACTGTACTGTATTTCATTTTAGATTTTCTATGTATTATTTTTTGCATTTCCGGCTTACGACCTGGATTTGGGTCCTTAACCCCGCCGTATTACGCCGTAAGTCGGATAGGAGCTGTACTATGACTTTAACCATATAGATAACCAGCTCATAATAGAAAACCACAGTGAATTAACTGGGAAGGAATCGTTAGAGAGGAAGCATATAAAAACGAATCAATGCAAAACTTCAGGCAATCCTTGAGTTAACAGCATAGGAATGTACAGCTTATCCAGGAAAACAAAAAGAAGTGGAGCAACAGATTTCATGCAAGTCGGGCCAGGTTGCATCTCTAACAGAGCGTGTTGGAACTTTTGGCCTTCATTGTTGAGCCGCAGAAATTGGACAGTGATTGCAAAACAGCATTAAGATTGTCTTAGTGATGTGAATGTGTAATTCAATCACCCCGCCCAGCTCCCTACCTCGACTCGCCCGGCTCCCTACCTCGCCTCACCCCGCCCGGCTCCCTCCCTCGCCTCACCCCGCCCGGCTAGAACCCGTAATAAATTGTTTCAACTCCCAGAAATCGTAGCTAAAGAGAAAGCAAAGAACTAGCCAGTAAAAAATACATCTTAATTCCGCAAAAAATACTTATATTTGTGTTAAATCTAGTCAATGGGGCGCAGTTTTCAATGGTGAATACAGTGGTGGTGATGAACGTTTGGGGAACTGCGCAGTTGTTGAGTTATGACCACCCGGCTCCCCCATAAGTGTGTTGGGCTTCGAAGCAAGAAATAAAAATTAAATAAAACAGTAATCTAACCCAATCTGGTCATTGTACTCACTTACTGGTTAATTATTACCTAAATACTGATGAACGGTTTACGCTCGTTACTCACTACCGGCTCATAGTTTAGGCTCGTTTGTCATGACTCATTTGCGGTATATTTGCCTAAAACATTAAGAAATTACTGGTTAGACGTTAGAGAGCCACTTAATATAATACTAAACCATATTAATGTATTTGTTTAAGCTGCACAGTTGGTACCATGGGCCTTAGAGCCCAGTGAAACTTGGGGATACGACCCTATGAGGCAAGTGAACTGTAAAAACCGGCCGGCAAGTTTTTTACTTAAATCAGCATTTATTACGCCATAATTAAGTATAACCATTTCTCTTGGCCATTTTGACTGTAGGCAGTCAGGCAAAAAATTTACACGTATATAAAGGAGACTAGAGGAGCGGCGCTTGCCTGCCTGTGATGGGATGGGAAATAATAATAATAATAAGATAAATTAGAATATAATTGATATACGTCATTATTCTAACATCAACAACGATTTATACGATAGAGAATTAAAAATAAATAAATTTTGGCGATATGGCAACATGTATGGGCAGCTGACAGCCACAACATCACTCGCTAGTCGTGTCCAGTACATTGTCAAGGTGGACGTGTGCATTATTCCTTCATTTTTGACAATTTCCTTAAAAACTTGATACTCTTTCGGTGTTATATACTGATATAAGTGGAAGTGTTCGGTGTTGTGAAGTGCTGGAGGGCCCGTAACGTGAAGTGTTGTGTTAATATATAGGAAATATTGGTTAAAAGGTGAAGTGACGTGACTCGATGAGATTAGAGGATATTTGCGACTGATGCCAAGTGAAGTGTTATGGGCCCATAACTTGATTGGATTAATGGAAATAAATAGTGTTAACGGAGGTAGTGAACCTAATTGAAGGTTAAAGAAAAATTCACGCGTGGAATCCCTTTTTCTAGTGAACATTAAAAGTACGACGAGGTACCGTAGTGAATTTTCCAAGTGTCCTTTTTGAAGTGAAGTCAATTAAAACATGTGGGAACTACAAAAGTATTCACCACAGTTAACTACACCAGGACTTGATTCACCCTCCGCCAGGAATTTAAATTAAGGTATGATTAAAACTTTGGTTTAGTTAGTGTTATGCCATGTATTACAATTGGCACACAGAGCTATTAAGATTGTTATGGGTTAATACGTCTGACTCGCCGCTACACAGTATGAGTTTAATAAATGGTGCCTAAACAACAAAGGTGAGAGTTTAGCTCTTCAATCTTCTACGTAAATGACAAAATATACAGTACAGTACAGTACCTGTTGTAGTGGAATTCTCCCCTACAAACGCTGTTTGTCGCTGCCTAGCCGACCCCACCAATTCCCCAGTGTATGCCTCGTGGTCTAGGTCAACCAGCGCCGCCATACACCACGGAGCGGGGGTCAACTGCTAAGCCACGCCTACCCCCGCTATTTAAGACCTGACCTCGTGGTGATCTGTCTCTCTTTCTACCTACACCAACCAGCCAGCAACACCTCCGCCTGCCTGGCGGTCCTCGCTCCTCCGCCTGCTGGCGGTCCTCCCCTCCCGCTGAAAGCCGAGGCATGGCCACAGGCTGTCCTTCTCTGGGCGATCACCAGCCAGCTCTCTCTACATCAGCTTGTAACCATGCTGCCTTCCCAGCACCAAGCTGCACTGTACATCCAATACAATATGTATACAGAGAGCACATTGTGAGTTTCCTTTCTCCATCCCATCCTGAGTGTGAACCAAACATCTCGTACCCCACAAATGGTGACCCCCGGAGATTCGCACTCACACAGGATGGAGGAGAAACCGATCACTCTCCCAGTCTTCAAGCAACATGGAAGACTGGCTTACCCACGCAGAGGCAGCTCTCATCGGCTCTACAGCTACTGTCTCTAAACCGCAGGTTAGACACACTAGAGCAGCTCTGCTACTCTAAGCAGACAGCCGCTCCTCTTCCTGCCCCAAGCACCACGTCCTACCGACCCCAACACACCCGTCCTGCCTCAGACGCCGCCCCCAGCCCAGCAGTATCCCCTGCCGCTCCTCCTGAGGCAGCCCCTGCTCCCGACGCGGCCCATGCGCCTGAGTGCGGACCAACACACCCCTTCTTTCTCCCTCAGGTACTCCCTGCTACTGTCCTGCATCCCTGCTGCTGTCGTGGACCCTGCTGCTGTCATGCACCCTGCTGCTGTCACGAACTCTCCTCCGCTCCTGCTGACGCAGCCCCTGCTCCTGACCCAGGCCCACACACCCCAGCAGGCGCATCTGACGACTCTGTACCTGCCGTGAGGGAAGCACAACATTCATCGCCTCCACACCCTTTTTCTCCCTCTCTACTTCCACAGATATTGTATATCTAGACAGTTGTCTCCTCTAGCGGCCGGCTCATCCACGCCCTCGCCGTTATGGCTCACATGTGGCATGCACCGCCCGTTCTGCCTCACATGTGCCATGCAACCCTGCAGACAACAAGTCTCCTACACCGCCTGGAGGGAAGGGGGAGTATTGTAGTGAATCCCTCCCCTACAAACGCTTTGTTTATCGCTGCCTAGCCAGCCCACAATTCCCAGTGTAGCACACACACCGTGGTCTGGATTGTGGCGCCGCCGCCACACTGCAGGCCGAGTCAACTACTAAGCCACGCCAACCCCCCGCTATTTAAGACCTGACCTCGTGGTGATCTGTCTCTCTTTCTACCTACACCAACCAGCCAGCAACACCTCCGCCTGCCTGGCGGTTCTCTCTCCCGCTGGCGAGCATGGCGACCCACAAGCTGTCCTTCTCTGAGCGTCCTCACCAACCAGCTCTCTCTACATCACGCTTGTAACCATGCTGCCTTCCCAGCACCAAGCTGCATTGTACATCCAACACAACATGTATATAGAGAGCACATTGTGAGTTTCCTTTCTCCATCCCATCCTGAGTGTGAACCAAACATCTTGAACCCCGCAGCGCTAAATTAAGTGCTCTGTGTGCCTGTCAGGATCTTTACTTTTTGCACCTTTTATCCTCTTCGCCGCAGTCGGCTGATGGCGGCGTCGGTCACGACTCTTTTCCTTTATATTCTTCACTAAGGTCGGCTCGCTTCTTCGCCAGACGTCCGATCCTGCGTCTCTATCACGCTTTTGTTGGCAAATACTGGGCATACGGCTCACTAGAATGTACTGAACCCGCTCCAGTGTTGGTCGATCTTCTCTTGAAGAGCTCACACTCGGTGCCGTCACAACACTTTCTGGTAGGTGTTCCAGGTTTAACCCTCACTCCGAAAAAGTTTGCCCCTCACGGTTTCCGGACTTGCGGCTTCTTCAATCTTGAGCCTGACCCCTTGTGGGGCGAGCGTCCGCCAGCTCCAAGTAAGGACACTCAACTGAGTAGTGCCCCCTAAGGTGCTTATACACCTCAACTAGGTCCCCCTTGCCCGTCTGTAGTATAAGCTAGGCAAGTTCAGGCGCTCCAATCTCTCAGGGTAGCTGAGGTGCCGAAGTGCAGGCACCAGTCTGGTGGCCCTCCTTTGAACATTTTCAACCAACTGACAGTCCCTAGCATATCTCAGGGACCAGATGGGGTGACAGTACTCCAGATGGGGAAGCACTTCACTCCTGAAGATCTTCACGAGGGACGGACCGTCTAGATATCTGAACGACCTTCTTATAAGACCCAATAATTTATTTGCCTGATTTACCTTCTTCTCACAATGGCCCGAGAACTTCAGCTCATTGTCAACATACACACCTAGGTCCTTCTCACACACAGTCTCAACTAGTACATTTTCTTCATCCCGTTGGGACATATGGTACGCCTCCTTACCGTTGGTACGCCCCAGGTGCATCCTCTTACACTTCGTGACATTGAATCTCAGCAGCCATTCCTTCGCCCATTCCTGGAGCCCACAGAGGTCCTTCTGCAGCTCTTCACAGTCCGCTTGGTTCTTAATTTCCCGAAACTCTTGGCGTCATCAGCAAGCATTTGTATGGAGGTGTTAACGTCGGAGCATATCATTTTATGAAACAAACCAAACAACAGCGGGCCCAATACACTACCCTCACGGTGCCCCCATATTTACCGGAAGTACAGATGACGATTTCGTACCGTTAATCACCACATTACTTTGCGGTCATGTAGAAAGTCTTCTATCCACGCTAGGACATTTCCCCGAATTCCGTACCCTTCCAGTTTGATTTTCAGCCTTTCGTGGGGTACACTGTCGAAAGCCTTGGCAAAATCTAGGTAAATATTGTCGATATTACCACCCGTTCTAGAATATGGGTCCAAATATCCAATACCTTGAGCAATTGTGTCAAGCAAGAGCGCCCCGGCATAAAACCGTGTTGGCAATCTTTTACAAGGTTGTTTCGTAGTAGATGTTCCATCGCGGCATCTCTGATAATACTCTCAAGTACTTTACATATTATGCTGGTCAGGCTCACCGGTCTATAGTTGTTCGTGGAGTGACTATCGCCCTTCTTGAAGATAGGACTCACATAAGCCACTTTCATTTCACTGGGGACCATTTGTTCATCCAGGCATTTATAAAACAGAATCTTCAGGGGCTCTGCAAGCTCGTTGCACAGCTACCTTAGCACTCTAGGATGCACCATGTCAGGTCCAGGACCCTTATGGACCTTTAGCCTGGACAGTTTATTTCTAATACCCTCTTCTGTGAACACAATGTGGGTCAGTGCTGTGTCGAACCGTCTGTCCTCAAACGCAGGAAGGTTAGTTGCATCCTCTCTTGTGAACACTGAGGAAAAGAAGCTGTTCAATGCCTCAGCTTTATCCTGGTCAGAATCTGCGTAACTACCATCTTCAAACCTCAGGTCTGATACTCCTACTCGCGTTTTCAATTTCGACTTTGCATAGCGGTAAAACGCCTTTGGGTTTGACTTGACCTCGCGTGCAACCAGCCTTTGGAACTCCTTTTCAGCCCTCCTACACTCTATCTTTGCTTGGTTTCTGGCTCTTGCATACATCCTCCTGTCTTGCTCATCGTTTGACCCAACCCACGCCTTGTATAAGTGAAGATGTTAAGAACTGAGGATCAGTCTTATGGTTATTGTCTCATAAATATAAAATTACTGATAAATTTAGTGAATATTAATTTTCGATCGTTTAATATGATGTGGCTGGAAATGTGTAAATACTCTCTTCATTCGTTATTACCCACAGCATTCACTCCTATAAGAGATGTGTTCTTCCAAAGTTGGGTGTATCTTATCGCTTCATACAATCTAACAAACGTCCCTCCTGAAATATAACTATGCTGTACTGTGCTTCATATTTACATGCACACACTTGCTTTCAGGATGTCCATTTCCCCCACTTTTATTTCAGCCCTCGCCTTATCCTTCCATCTGGGATATCCCCTCTCCCTACTTCTGTACTATGCTTCTACTCATCACTGGAACAGACCCTCTTCCTTATTTATGTTTTTCCTGTTCCTACTATCATGAACATGCTCTTCATTCTCGTCTATACAGTAATGTTGATTCAATAATTATCGTTGTACATCTCAATTATTGCCATTTTTATATGGAACTCTGCATACATTTAAATATTCCCACAATGTTCCTCAAAATGCTCAGACCAAATATAACTTTCTCAAAATAAGTACAGTAAAGTATCACAATAGATCAACATTAATGTAAAAGGATATCCATGAAATAGAAACATATTTTTTTATTCTATCTTAATGCAAACACATTCTATTATACATTAATGTACAGATTAAATAAATTATAAACTTTTGTTATTTTTGTTTTAGGTGCGTGAGGCCAAGAGTGCCAAGCCTCGTACCTAGTGAAGCAAACATGGCGGACTTGGAGTGCAAAGAACGATTTGACAGTCCAGGAAACAACTGGCTGAGCCCTTGGTAAGACATTTAATAACAATATTATATCAGATATATAATAATTATAATGCCAAGTGCTTATTATATATAATATTGTGGCGAGATAAAACGAATTTAATGGTTAATTTAGTAGATTATGTTGGGTCGTCGTCAACACAGGTGTGGGGTCATCAATCACAGGTAGTGGAGTCGTCAAGCACAGGTGGACATACTGTATCGTGTTATTTATTATCCTCTATAACAAAAGTCATGATAACTAACCATATTTCTGTTGTTTATTACACAAGAAAAAGATTCCTAGGTGAATTTTTACTTTCTGACAAAAGGAAGGTTAATCCATTGACTGTCCGCAGGCCATGTTTGCCTGAGGTTATACTCCTCACTAAGCCCGTGTTTTCTCTTCATTTCCCTATAAGTTAGGTTAAGTTTGGTGGGTTGGCTTTTTTGGTATAAGAATAAGTTTTCTTTCGTGTGTACTTTTGGTGTTTGACTCAAATCTGACCTTCATTTTTGTGCATATATAAACTACTAATAATACTATACACAGGTACTGCAGCTGATTGTTAGCACCAAGGTGCACACTACTCTTGTTAGGTAAATGAGATCCTTCCCAGGGATTCATACCTGGACTATTTCTGTGTCCAGTATCATTAGGTAGCGACCGTGAGCTATATGTAAAGCGGCAATAAATTGACCAACCGGCAATAGTTCTGCATCTACATGACTAGACCTGCATTCACTGAATCGGCTATGAGCCGATCATTGGTAACAGTGAAAGCTTGCACAGAGGCTTCAGTTGCATGCATGTTAGTTGATTACTTTTTTTACTGCTGTTTAAGACTGTGCAATGGCCCTATTCTGTTTCATGACTGCTTCTGAAACTGCGTTCATTCGTTTCCCTAGTTTAGCTACATCTTCTGCAGTTGCCGTACCAAATAGGGTGTTACTTAATAACTCGACAAAATTAAATAGACCACGGTTTTTATGAGAATGCACATTGTTCCTGACGTCTTCAGGAGTCGTGGGCAGCTTTCCCTCCAAGTGCATACACATTTGAGTAGACGCTTCATATAGGCGTTATGAAGTGAGATGGTAGACTGTTGTTTGAGATCTTGTGTACTTATAGCTGTTTCAATGTGGACAGCTATTGACCTCAGGCATATATCACTAAACTTTGGTGCTGGTACTTGACAGTTACGACATCTTCCACTATAAGTACTTTGCTCAGTGGGGCAACTAAAGCTTTGGATTTGATGATGTTTGCTGGGGATGCAGCTGTTGCCACAACGTTCCATGCCAACAGGAGTAGCGATATCCAAGCCATGCCTGAAAGGGGTGAGGATAATTAATGTTTTTTGTTTGCTGATCACAGTTTTTGATGATATTTATTGTCTATTGTTGTGATGTATTGTTTATTGTTGTGTTATGATGTATTGTTTATTGTTGTGTTGAGCAACTGTCGTAGTAGAAGTAGGCTGTAATTAACGGACATTAGGGGTCCCTACTAAGTGTCTGCTAACTTTTATCATTCTATCTACATGAACTATGTCAGTGACATTTGTCGTTGGGTCAACTACATGAAATTTGTTTCCATGTTCTTTTCCTTTAATCAGGTAGGGACCTGTGAATTTAGGCAAAAGTTTTGATGTACGTTCCGGTGCTTTTGTCGTTACTGCGTCTCCTATTTTTGGAGTTACAGGCTTGGGTTTTTATGTTGCTTGCAGATCATTTCAGCACGTGAGGCTGTTAAATGCTTTTGTACTTTTTCATGAATGCTGTGAAAACATTGATTTGCTTCTTGGCATGGTCATCCATGTTGCATACAGGTTGTGGGGTTCCTGCTAGTTGATCATAGAGCAAGCATCTATTGGCACCATAAATTATGTAGTATGGCTATTTTCCTGAAAAGCTATTGATAGATCCATTGATGGATTCTGCTACTTGTGGAAGCCAGTCCTTCCAGGAACTGTGCATCGGATTCACCACGTGTCGAAGAATCTAAAGAATTTTACAATTTGTACGCTTGACGAACCCATTTGAGGATGGATGCAGATTTTGCAAAAAGGTGCCTTTTTGGGTTTGGTTCCTGTGGTAGGGTTGTCCCTTAGAACTGGTTATGGGCGCTAATAGCAGAGCCCTAGGAGTACAATATTTTATGGCATATAAGACACACTATTTTGTCTGAAAGGGGGCTAAAAAATCAGCCTGCGTCCTATTTGTGAAGTTGTCTCCCGTAAGCTAATGAATTCCCCCAGTTGCTGTCTCCAGAAGGCTAAATTCTACCTAACCTAACTCCACAATTAAAAATGGTTTTGCTTACTTTACACATTATTTTTAATTAATTAAAAGATAATTACGTATCGTAAAAATAAAAGCCGGATTTATAATTACTGTACTGATGATAACCCGAGATAATTAACGTCTGTATGCCCAACTCTTGAGAGGCAGCTAAGCAGTAACCATTTATGAACAAGCATTACTATCTATTAATGCCATACCTGCCACATTTATTTTAAAATCTACAAAGACCTGATACAAATGAAAATTTACAAATAACTCTCTTTTCACCATTACATCTGTTAACATTGGTGGCGGCATTGTAGGCAACAGGCTAGTGGGCCAAGCTGTTGTTTTTCAACTGGTATTTTCAGGTAGATATAGTATACGCAGCTTTTTTCATTTGCATTTACCGATATACATGCACACACCATCCTACATACATACAGTGAAAAAAAATAAAAGAAATAATTGTTTTAAGGACAAACACATAAAAGGAATATACTGTACACGAGTTAGCTGGCTCAGTGGGGGAGCTGGAGGATGGCTGGTGGTGGTGTGTTGGTAGGGAACCGACCATAGCAACTATGGTAAACAGGGAGTACAGTATGTTGACTGTGTTAAACTGCCATAAAGCTTTTATTTACTGGTTTGGCAATAGAGTATTTTTGCTGTATCTTTATTGGTATTATTTTTATATATTCCTCACATTTACTGGTACTGTACTGTGGATACATTAGTTTTTTCTTAAATACTCCCTGGTAAAATGGGGGGGGGGGGGTGCGTCTTACACGGCCGTATGCTTCCACCGCATCATAAATTTCCTCCACGTAATCTATGAGCCTAGTCCCTGGTTTGTGTTCCTTTTTCTGGCTGCCTTGCTTGTAGGTACTTGTAGCTTAATGGGTTTATTTAACTCAAGGTGGATAAGTCAGGTTAACGATAAGAGAGTCGCTATGACTAGGTCGATAATGAGGCTAACAATTGGTGGTGTGGGGCCTTCTTGTCCTGGGTTATCTTCCTGAGTCAATCGGGATTTGTCTTACTTTTAAGATATTGGCCTTGGGGCTTCTGGGCGCCTTAGTGGGCTATTTATTAAATATTATAAGCGTAAACTATAGATTGTGTAGGTTGGGTGGTGTTCGTGGCATCTATTTGGTTTATATCTGTACCAGGTTGAGTTGAGCCATACTGCACTTAGGTTATAAAGCACCGGCGTCAGGGACTACTGCAGGGGTGGGCAATTATTTTTGATGGAGGGCCACTTCATGAATGGTGGCACACTTCGCGGGCCACACACTTAATGTAGATACAAATGTATTATATTAACACAAAGTAAAACCTTGTATTTGTAAATACAGGAAATAAGATAAGATAAAAAGTACATAGTGAAAATGTGGGTAAATAAACACATATCTGAGCTAATATAATTTATTATGATATGTACTAATATTAATACTACTATTAATACTAATATAGTTAAAATGCAATGCAATTAGCACTAATTGCTTCAACATTATTAGGACAGAATCGATTTTGATGGCTGAAATTCCACTTCTGTCCAGATGTTCTCATCTCTTCCTTCCTTAGGGTACTGGAGGTAGGGTGGTGTCAGTCAGCAGCACAAAGGAGAATGCGATTAGTGTTGCTGCTGCGCTGGACGTCTGAGTCAGGTCACGATGGTGAGGTGTGGGTGCAACAGTTCCTCTGGAGAAGAAAGACACGTTGAGAATTCCCATGAGGTCAAAGATGGGTTCTCAGGTAAAAGGTTTAGTCTCCCTTGACCTAATAGTTATAATTAATGGATTCCCATACCACACCTGTACCTAATGCAGGTGTTCTCACTATCAAGTTAACAGTGACGAGCCAGTATTGCTGCTATGTCCACCCAACTTCCAAAATTGTCCTTTCTGTAATTAATAAAAAAAAAAAAATCTGATTGCCAAGTGCAATGGCGGGCCGCAGAAAAAATTTGGCGGGCCAAATGTGGCCCGCGGGCCGTGCTTTGCCCACCCCTGGACTACTGTATGGTCGAGGTTTGTATTGTAGCATTATAAATAAGTATTTGCAGCTCTCTCAGAACAATAGGGTAAGGATATATTAGAAGGTTTTTATTCTGAGTCATTGTTGTGTTTTTTATCAGAATTTAAGTTTAGAATTTTGCTTTGAAGCAACAAGGGCAGCAAGTTTGTCTGTGAGTGGGCCAGTATATTTGGTCTAGTTCATAATCTTTCAACGGGCTCTTCGACAGCAGTAGGTTATTGAACGCCTATACAATTTAGGTCTAATTTTTTGTAAGGTTTGTAAATTTTTAGTTTGTACTTGTATCACAAGTTCTTTTCTTTTTTGGTATCGTTATATTGTCCAATACCTGGCAAACTACCGTGCCCTTCAAACTACCATTGGGGTAGTAAACCACATCAATATTGGTAGATCTAACGGCTCACCCGACAGTCTTACCAATCTGTCCAGACAGAGCACATGTCTGTTTCGTGCACTGTACTGATACTACTAATGGTAGTTTGGGTGGCGCTGTAGTTTGCCAGGTGTTGGACAATACAAATAATGGTAACAGCACATACGTATATACTTGTCTATAATTCTACCTCGTTTATAGGTCGACTCTGATTTTTTGACCAAGAAATCATTAATTTATGATATGCCACATTTATAGGTCGACCCAAGTTTTTGAGGGTAATGGAACAGCAAAACCTTCACTATAAACACTACGTCCTATAAACTGAGGGTCGCCGTGCCTGCAACACCGAGCGCCGAAGACAAATTGTTTACCATTATTACGACACTTTACACTGAAACGCGGGTAGTTTCAGCAAAAATATTGTATATTTCCATTCAAGTATTCAAGTCAATTAGGAGGGAATATTATTGTAATACAACAGTTTTTTTTAACTGAAAATCATTCAAAAAGCAATTATGGTAACATCTTTTTAACAACGAAAGAAAGCGGAAGTCGATTGTTTTCTTCGTGATTTTATCCCACTTTCCTATGTAATACGTACGTCATTTCAGCAAAAATATTACATTTCCATGAATGCATTATATCAAGCACAGTATGAATAGAATATCAATGTAATATAACAGTATTTTAACCAAAAACTATTAAAAAACGAGTAACATCTCTTGACCATCGGAAGGTTAGGTAAAGTCTTTTGTTTTCGTCATGTATTTTATCCTATTTTACATTAAAATACATCACGTTTCAGCAAAACTACTATTTATTTCCGAGAATATATTCATTCAGACACAGTTAAGGTAAAATATACGTGTGATGTAACAGTTTTTTAACTGAAAACGATTAAAAAAAACACGTGTAACGTCTAGCTGATACTCAACAGCTGGTCGTGCATACAATATGAGGTTGAGGTGGATTAACGGGTATTATATTAAGTTGAAATATCAAAAAGGTCTTTATTACCGGTATTTTTTGTAGATCAATGAGTACATACTGTGATACCGTATATGATATGATAAGTTAGCCTGTGCTAAGAACTTCAACATAGACTACTGAAAGCACGCTGTAAGGTAATTTAGCCTATTGTTGCTGCGCTTCAACTGCTGAAGGAACTGCACAGCTTTTCATTACTAATTGGTACATATTTTATGTTTTCATTGTTTACTGGCAGTAAATGGTATATATTTTTCATGTCTGAAGCTAAAAGTTGCTCCTCGCCCTTTCCATCATGCACGGATTCAACCTAACAAAACTATTACCCATGTAGAGGTCGACCCTCAATTTTTTGCCTAAAAATTTGGTTTTAAAAACTCGAACTAAACGCGAGTATATGCGGTACATAAAATATACATACAGTACATGGACCTACATAACTGATACAAAGGCTTTATACACCTAGCTAACTGAACACACTCAATTAACCTTATTACTGTACTAACTTATATAAGGATACACTGTACCAAGTTTGAAAAGTAAATTATTTTAAAATCTTCATCCATTTTAGCAAATTATTGAAAGCAATATACAGTACAGTTGTAGACTAGGAGTTCGGTACAAGTATTTGAACCAGAAAATCTTATAAAATATTCCATGTTGGCTAATTATTGAAGAATGCAATACAATATACTGTACAGTAGTGGACTACCAGTAGCTTTTAATATAATATGCAGCTACATTTTCTTGGACCTTTCAACACACAAGCCGAGATTGGAATTAAATATTTCAAACAATTACAAGAACTTGAATGACATAACTATTCAGTAATCAAAGTTGAAAATAATCATATTGTATTTTACAAACTTGAATGTCTTGGCAGTGTTAGCATGTGGAGTGTATACATTACCACCATTGATGAATAATATTTCACTTTCCACTGATGATGGTGGAGAAGAAAGTTGTTTGTTTGTAAGGAATGTTGCAAATATTTTCTTAATGGTTTTCAACTCATCTAAAGGATTCCAGCAACTATAATGTCAGGTATATGTCCATTTTAGCTCTGACAGTTGAAGTTGTTACTCATGTTTTTTTACTTTTAGAAGAACTTCTTGGAATTGATTTTGGTGCTGTAGACTGTGAACGATCTCTGTTACTAACTGATTTATCAAAATAATTGACACAGAAGCCATAAATTTTTACAAGACTCTGGTTTCTGCACAGGAATGTATAGTCACACCCTTCCTCCTCTTGTATAGCTGACCATGGCTCTCTATGAAATCTGTTCTTCATTGTTGCCTTAGTGGCAGTACTGTACTGCCTAACCCAGAAAACTGAACACCTGCTGATGCTTTGGTTATGAACATTTGAAGTAACTTGATTTGAGGGGTTATCTTGTAACAGTGCATGGGCTTTTACTCATCATTCATGCCCTGCCTACTATTGGCAATTTATGATCATAGATATAGAAAAAATATATACAGTATTGTCTGGTTTTACGAGGTTAATTAAACCCGTGGAGGTCCGCGTATAAAGCAAAACGCGTAAATATAATAACAGAACATGGGATAAATTGAAATAGAGACTGGGCTGACCACCAGACTACCCTTTTTTGGTTATCACCAACACAATACTGTACCTTGTAGTAAAAATATCTTAATTTTATGATGGTATGCACACACAATTAATATTTAAGAGAAATATCAATAATATTAGGTTTTTTAACACTTACGTTAGTAGAAAAGATGGCAAGGTACATGGGGAGGGGGGGTTGGTTCCGAGGCAGAGGGCAGATTATTGGCCCTCATCTGTATCTCTATCCACCACAGAGGCTAGCAGGGCCTCCGCGTCAAACCCCTCGAAATCCATACCCTCACTATCACTGACTTGGGCTGGCTGTGGTGGGTGAAGAACTCGGTGATGTTTTGTTGACGTCTAGCATTGATGTGGTCTTGATACAGCTTCACATAGGGCTCCTGGTATTTCAACAGATGGTTATTCGACACTTCGCAGCGATGATTGACTGGTTCTTTGGCAAGGAGGAGCTTCATTCTCTCTGCAAACTTGATGATTTCCTTCACATCAGCATGTGTTAGTTTCTGCTCTTGTTCTTCTGTAACACCTGGCTGCTCACTGACATCATCATCTTCCAACATCTCGTCAGCAGTCACCTCGGGTTGCTTGATTACCTCCAGGATGTCGTTGTTGGTGGTCTTGGAGAAGCCTGCAGCTCTAACACTTTGCGCAGCCTCTCTTGCATTCTCCAATGCCACAGCAACAGACTGAGCCTCACCAGACACCGCTTGCCTCTGCCTCCCACCTGGGATACCCTCCAACACATGCCACCACGCGTGCTGAATAGTTGCCACAGATAGCTGCCCCCATGCCTCCACCAAGAAATCAACAGCCTTCTTCACATTAAACAGCTTCCAGAACTGTTTCTGCAGTTCATCCTTGGTGTTGGTGAAGTCGTTCAGGAGCCGAAACTTCTTGGCGGAGAAAGCAGCCTTCATGTTGCAAATCGACTCCTGATCCATGGGCTGGATTAACGACGTAGTGTTAGGGGGAAGGAAGACCACTTTTACGTTGGGGTGGCGATCCAGCAAAAGGGGCGAGTGTCCTGGTGCGTTGTTGAGGAGCAAGAAAATGTTGAATGGCACATTAATTTCCACGCAGAATTTCTTGATATCAGGAATGAGACAGTTGTCAAACCAGGAGAGGGATAGACCAGAGAACATCCACGCCTTCCCTGAGGTTAGCCAGTGGACATTTAACTTGCTCATGTCCATATTCTTGTATGCATGAGGCTTGCTGGCTTTGTGGATCACAGACAACTTCAGCTTAGCAGTGCCTGAGGCATTGGTGGTGAACAGTACTGTACTGTGATGCGCTCCTTCTGCATTTTGCCTCCCCGACACTTGCTAGCAGACTTGTCTACGAAGGTCTTGGATGGCAATTTCTTCCAGTACAACCCTGATTCATCCATATTGAACACTTGGTCGTCCGTGTACTGTCCTTCCTCCATAATTTTCCGTAAGAATGGGGAAAATTCATGGCGGCAGCCCGGTCGGCACTTGCTCCTTCTCCGACTTTCACAATATTCGTTATCTTGTTGCGTCATTTAAAACCTTGCAGCCACCCAGGGGAAGCACTGAAGGGCTTGGGCTCTGCGACCCCTATTTTTCTTGCTACTGCTGCATAGAGTTCTCGGGCGTAGTCCTGCAGGGCCCGAGTGTCGACCGCCATGTTCCTTCTTGATTGATGAATAATGTAGCTTACCAACAAACTCTCGGTCTTCAGCAGCAACATATTGTGGCAATATTTCACCAGAGAGGCACCGACAGACTTCATGTGTTCATTGATTTTGCCGGCATCCTTCTTGATCGTGCGGATCGTCGATTTCATTCACTCCATATTGTCTGGCCAGATCCACCTGCCTCGTGCCTTTTTCTAACTCCTGAACGATCTTGTACTTAACCTCATAGCTTAAAGCGAGTCGCACCTTCTTGGGCTTGGGGTGGCTTGGGCCAGGTAGTTCAGGGTTTCTCAGGGGTGGTGGGGGTCCGGCGGAAGTCTTTGTGTAGAAAGAAAAAAAAACGGTTCCCGGGCACGAGTGAGTATACGCGGGAACAGTCAGACTGGTGCGGCTATGGTCAAGAGTGAGGGTGGCAGGGGTTGGCAAGGTTAAATAGACCAATCACAGCGCACCGTGGAAGGGGTGCGTGGGTGGTAAGGATACGTGGCCCAATCACATTCGGCATGAGTCTGACGTCAGCACCTTGCCCCGCTGCGTATATGATGGCATTTACCGCGTAAATAATAATTATCGCTTCTGGACAGGTGCCGTGTATAAAATATCCGCGTAAACCCAGACTATACAGTACTGTATTTATAATATAAAAAAGTTATCAGTTTTATTAGTTAATGCAATATCATCCAAAGTATAACTGTGAATTACGTATATAAACACATTCTGGTGCTAACTGTCTCCTCCACCTCTACCATGTTATTTCTATTTTATCAATTTGTTTCTAATACTTGGAAATTATAAATAAAATAATTTGTAGAATTTTCTGTAGCCAAAAGTACTGTTTTATGTATTTTAAATCCCAGTCAAATAACCTGTGGTTATAATATAATAGTTTTATAGTGCAGTGTTGTGTATTATACAGTACGTATAGTTATTTATCTTATTTCCAGGAAGTTTCAAGGACCAACA